TGTATGTGCATGTGTATGTGTGTATGTGCATGTGTATGCGTGTATGTGCATGTGTATGTGTGTATGTGCATGTGTGCTCCCGAACGTGTATGCAGGTGTGTGTGCTAAGGTGTAGGTTCTCGCACTAAGTGTTGTGTGCGTGAGCGTGTGTGTGTGCGTGCGTGCGTGCGTGAGTGTGTGTGCGCATGAAGATGTAAGCGTGAGGCCGAACGCTGAATTATCATTACTTACTTTCACCTTCATTTTCATTTTATTGAATGACCCTTTTCCCTTTTGTCAAATGTTGTTCAAATTTTGTGAGTTCATGTGCCTCGTATTTTTGTTTGAGCGCGGAGAGATTTTTTTATGGCAGGACCATTTCTCTTTAATTGGGGCACAGAAAGCAAATACTTTTACTCCTACTTGAAATATGACGCGGAAAAAGGGGCTGTGTTCTATCTCAGATCTACAATCTAAAGCAAACATCTGGTTAATGAGCAGAGGTAATTTATGCAATCACCTGGAGTTCCAAGATTTAGATACTAACGAGAAAAAGCGGGATTTCTGAGTAACGATTAGCGCCTTTGATGGTGAAATATGGATCGCTTTTATTCGCTGTTCAGTGTTTCTGAAAACAAAAATAGCTGTCATTTGGCACTATTAGGATTAAGTGAAACATTGTATCTGTAACGGCCATAAGATTTCCGAGTCCCGTGATGGGATTCGAACCACGGACCTTCTGATCCGAGGTAGGACGCCTTGTCCATATGACCAAAGAGGTTAAACAAGGTAAGGATATGATCTGTGGGATGACTCCACGCCCTGCTACATATCCATACAAAGTGTCCATTGCTACTTCATTGGGTGAGACCGCCTCCGTGGTCTAGTGGTAGAGCGTCCGCCCGGAGAGCGGAATGTCTGTGGTTCGATCCCCGACCGTGTCATACCAAAAGACGTTAAGAGATGGTACTTGTTGTTACCCTGTCTGGCACTCGGCATTAAGGGTCTGTATACAGTGTCTGAGTGGGGTATTCATGTTAAACTGCGGTATTGTATCTCAGTGGGCTGGCACTATAAATCGGCATCAGTCCGGACTAGTAAAAGCAGCATGCACGTGCATGCACGTCGCTATATAAGTGAAATAATCTTGGACGCGACGTTAAACCCCATTTCACCTCACCTCACCTCATTGAGTGAAAGTACGCCTGAAGTATCCATGTTTTTACATGGCCTTACATGATCAAGAGATTATAAACTCTGACACGCCGTGATAGAACTGAAATACTGTTCAAAGCAGCGTTAAAGCCATCTCACTCACTCACTCTTCTCACATCCAGCTGACACGCCGTGATAGAACTGAAATACTGTTCAAAGCAGCGATAAACCCAACTCACTCATTCTCTTATCCCTTGTCGGTTTCAAATTAAATGTGGCCTTTTCCATAATGTACGTAAGCCTTTTTAGGGCCATTTGTATTTGTGTTTTTTTCTTGAAATTTCAACATAGCATCTTGAAATTTCAACTTAATATCTTGAAATTTCAATATAACATCTTGTAATGTCAAGTTAGTATTTTGAAATTTCAAGAATAAAGCAATGGCCCAAAAATGCTTCCGTAATGATGACTTTTCGTGTCATAATTCTGTATTAATGATATACGTGGGCTTGGGCCAAGGGTCAACTCAAAGAAAGGAGATGATCCTCAATGAACCTTAAATATTTTAACACAATCAGTATCATCAGCGTAACTAAGACAAACAGATGTATATATCTTACCCCGGCTTCAGCAAAATCTCCCTTTATATGTGAAAACCAGTAGCACGAGTTGCCATAGTAATGAAAACCAACTGGGCATGCACCTGTGTAATTAAAACATTGTATTTTATAAATTATCAACAGGAAGCAAACATATTACAGGAACAGCAATATCACGGCGGGTGACACCAGTAATGGGCTTCGCACATTGTACCCATGTCGGGAATCGAACCCGGGTCATCGGCGTGACGAGCGAACGCTTTAACCACTAGGCTACCCGACCGCCTCTATTACATGAGGGGGCACGGGTGGCCCAGTCGTCTAAGGCGCCGCGATTCGCTGTGCAGAGTTGCGTCCCTTAGGCACGCCAGAAACCTATGATTGTGGATTCGAATCCCGGTTAGCCCCAATAATGTTTCTAGGTTTGTCGGCACCATACCCATGCTCGTGGGTTTTACCGAAGTGGTAAACGTCTGAGACCTGCATAATTTCGGGCTTTCCTCCCACATTAAGTTGACACCCAGCGATATAACTGGAATACTGTTAAAAGCGGCGTTAAACCCAACTCACTCACTCACTCTATTACATGAATAAGAAGATACAAGACCTACCTTCAGCAAGTGTGCAGCATGTAACGATCAGCATAAGGCAGACAAACGTTCTCATCTTGATGACAACAGCGTTCAATTCATGTCACTATCGCCGGCAGCTACAGCAAGGTACTATGCGAGCCTCTTTTATAGTGACGATACTTGTATTGCGTTTGATCACACGTTGCAGAACGTGGCAGATTTACATGCACGCGCGAAACAGCAGGGCGGGGCGTTCCTGATCAGCTCATTGAGTGGGCGAACTTTATTTTACGGCGCAATATTCCAGCTCTATTGGCCTACAATAGTTAAGCCTGAGTCAGCATGAGGACGATCCAAGCTCACGGGACACGATGGTATCAGTCAGGTAACACTTGCATGAACAAATCTGTATTCGTGGATTCAAAAACTGATCCTGGGGCTTGACTTGGCTTGGCCCCGGAGTCACCAACGACGGTGGAATATGTTACCCGTTGGAGTGATATGTTAAGAAAGGAAGAGGGGCGAACTGGGCTTAATAAATTGAGAATATATCGATGTTACAAACAAGTAAATGGGCAGAATACTATGTTTAAAATAAGATGGCCAGAAACTCTAGATCGGCACTAGCCAAGTTTAGATGTGGCATGGCTCCTATTCGAATGGAAACCGGTCGGTACGAAGGTGTTCCTGTCCACAATAGAAAATGTTTTCACTGTAATGACAGCGTAGAAGACGAGGTCCATGTTTTGTTTCACTGCGTATTATATGATGATATCAGGGCAACTCTTTTTAATGAATGTATTGCTAAATCTTATAATGTTTTAAATATACCTGATATCGACAAACTTTGTTTAATTGTCAGTGACTCCGGTGTGTGTTTTATACTTGATAATGTCTGCTTTTTTATTCTTAATCGTAGAAAGCATCTTTTATATGGATAACGTTTTACTATATCATCTATATATCATTTATGTATAAATTTTATGATAATTTGTCTCTCATAATTCTGTTGAATGGTTCTGTACATTTAATCTATGTCAAGTTGTACAAAGCTGTTTTATGTATGTACAGAAGTGAGACGTTAATAAACTAATGTGACCCGTGAAGATTCCGGGGTAGAATAGGTCTTCAGCAACCCCTGCTTGCCGTAAAAGGTGACTATGCTTGTCGTAAAAGGCGACTAACAGGATCGGGAGGTCAGGCTCGCTGACTTGGTTGATGGATGTCATCGATCCCAATTGCGTGGATCGATGCTCATGATATTAATCACTGGATTGTCTGGTCCAGACTCGATTATTTACAGACCGCCGTCATATAGCTGGAATATTGCTGAGTGCGGCGTTAAACAACCAACCAACCAACCAACCAACCAATAAACTATTGTCTGTCTGTCTGGAAGTCGTACATTGTACACACATGCGGTCTCAGCAACTTTCTAACTGTCTGAAGTTGGTGAGTTAGTGAGTGAGTTAAGATTTAGCGTCACATCGGCAATATTTCAGCCATATAGTGACGAGATCAATTTTAACATCAATAATAAATACATTTTGAAAATAAATTAACCTGTCGACAAAGACCAGTAAAACAAACTAGACTATCACAGATATGAACATAAAACTAGCACGGAACTGTAAAAAGATGTCACAATACACAAGATATGATAAAACCAGGCTATTGATCGCCAACCACTGAAGATAGATCACCATACTGGGGCCATGGGGACTTACAGTACCTTTGCTACCTGCATGGACCCCAGCAGGATTTATACCATATCCTCAGTCGCTGGTGATTGTGCGCTTTTTTAGCCAAAATTTAAAAAGACAGATATTCTACGTTTAAAAGACTAGGAGAAATAAATATTCATTTAATGAATAGGGACTTACAATATCCTCTCAGGGGGACTATAATTTTTACACTACTTTAACCCCCTTCGAGGATAGAGCCAATAACAATCTCAGATATAAATATATTCCACATAAATTTAAAAATGTTTTTGTACATGACATATCAACATAATTGCAAATTGTTATACAATTCTATTTCTTTTTCAAAACAAAACAAGAATTAAATGAGAACTAATGCTTTGAAAAAGATCCTTTGTCGAAGAAACTTTGAAATACTTATCCCTTGTGATGGAAAAATCATCACAGTCAAGCAGGATGTACTTGATGGTTATTCTCTCATCACAAGGGATCGAAGAGCAGCTGTTTCCAGATTTGTGTCACATCACCATTGGCGTAGCCTCAGCAGCACAAAAAACAAATGTTACACTTTCAAATCGTTACCAAAAAATAATTTTAAAAAAGTTCTTCAATAGTGTGTTCTTCTTTCAATCGTTTGTATAGTTGCACGATCTTTTGTTAATTTACAGGTTGACCCGCCTAGCGGTGTCCCAATTGTCGTTGAGTTGGTTCGATGTTGTTTGATTGTGACATTTCCTTGACCCTTATCGCGAACACCTGGTGTCATTACTTATATCCAGTTATACATATAATTTTCACAGCTGATTTTGTTTGTTTGATAAACGTTATGGGTGATTAAGAAAAATAGTACTGCAATATGATTGCTTACATTTTAATTTCCCGTAACTTCGCCCCTGATCACATAGTAAGCTGTAAAACAATACGGTTGCTATTGTAAGAAAACTTGCAACAAGAGGATCGTCCGTAGGGATGTCTCCACTACGTGGATCGGGTGGTTGGGCGTGGTGGCGTGGTTGACTGCATGCCAATTCAACTCTTTATTTCTGTACTTGTGGCCAGTAGTCCACATACAAGAATAATATATATAGTATAACAGCAATAATGAATTGTTTTCATGTCATTCAAGTTGGATTGAGTTGGATTTAACGCAGCTTTAAACACTATTACAGTACTATCAGCATAGGGTGGTAGGAAATCCTGGACGCTTAATGTACAGACCGCCTACGTGGTCTAATGGTAGAGCGTCCGCCCGGAGAGCGGAAGGTCCGGGGGTCGATCCCCCGCTGCGTCATACCAAAAGACGTTAAAATAATGTACTTGTTGTTACCCTGTCTGGCGCTCGGCATTAAGGGGATAAAACAAGGACTGGTCGGCTCGGAGTCAGTATACTGTGTCTGAGTGGGGTATTCATGTTCAACTGCGGCATGGTATCTCAGTGTGCTAGCACTATAAATTGGCATCAGTCCGGACTAGTACAAGCAGCCACACACACACATACACGTGCATGCACGTCGCTATATAAGTGCAATAATCTTGGACGCGACGTTCAACCCCATTTCACCTCAGCTCATCTTAATGTACAGGTTTGACAAACCAAGGATTTACATTATCTGAGCGAATGTGGGCTTCGAACTAACTACACCTGCCTCTCTGCATATGATATCAATCACTGGTTTGTCTGGCGCAGGCTCAATAATTAACAGGCCGCCAGAATACTGCTGCATGGAACCTCAGTACGCGTAGGTAAGTATAATTGCTACTAATATCCCCTACGTAAAGTACATAAACTGATGGGATAAAGAAAGTATAGACTTGAAAATTAGATTTTTAAATGACAAACGTTATCAAAATCCTACTAGTTGGAAAACAGTTGCCGAAACACTGCAAACTTAAGGTCCAAAAACACAACAATGATACCCGCATCAAATACATCGCCATCGAAAAAACACTTCTTGTTTGTTTCATGCCCAGCCACTATCAAAGATGGGCTAAACTTTCTTCTTTTGCCCGGCGGTGTGGAAGCAAAAACTCGTACAACCGAGTGTATTTTAACCAGAGATTTCTTTGGAAAATGGAAGGGGTCGCTTTTATTTATAATGGTATGTTTCACAATGTCACTACTATAAGTTTTTATTGGCAATGTATCGGCTTATACTGATACATGATTTCATATTATCAGAAATCGATCTAGGCAAACAAACCTTTTCCACTCTACAACACAAAAATCATTGATCCAGGTAGCGTCACGCGGTGTTAGCTAACGTGAAAGTGTCAGTGACGTCAAGCGTCCAGGTGTCGTGTGAAATGGTAATAGGCTTAACTGAAAAATCGCCATGATAGCTACCAGCGTGCAGGATCTGATAGCCATCAACTGTGGACGTGAGGACCTAATGGGCCAGTCACGCAGAAACTGTTTTTTGACACACCATATATCTCTCATAGACAGCTGGGCCCCCGAATGCCGGATACAGAGGGGCGGGGTGTGAGGCAGAACACCGAGGTGAAAATGCGCATATCGAGTAAACTTAGAATACTCTAGGTTGATCAACAAATGCTTCATCAAATATCAGTTATTTTTTAATATCTCTCTCTCTCTCTCTCTCTCTCTCTCTCTCTCTCTCTCTCTCTCTCTCTCTCTCTCTCTCGGTCTTTCGGTCTCTCTCTCTCTTTCTCTCACTTTTTTCTCTTGGTCTTTCGCTCTCTCTCTCTCTCTCACGGTCTTTCGCTCTCTCTCGCTCTCTCTCTCTCTCTCTCTCTCTCTCTCTCTCTCTCTCTCTCTCTCCAAAAGTCAAATGATATAATTTACTGTATAATTCGATCAACCGGATCTTTCAAGTGTATCTTAAATTAAGTTGAATATGTCAAATATCAATAACTTTCGATTCGAACCCGGGGGAATCGAACCCGGGCCTTCGGCGTGACTTGCAAACACTTTAACCACAATGCTACCCCAACCCCTATATAGTTATAAGACAAAGAAACAAAGCCTCATACCCGTATTCGGTTTTTTTAACACACTTCCGGTTATAAAGTTAAAATGATGACAACATAAAACAGCACTAAGTATGGCACATCTCATCTTCCCGGGACAAGGGAGTTAATTGACTTTAAAAGTCCAGTTTCCACCCTTGCCGAACTTGGCAACTAGTTACATTTTGGCTGGACTGACGAGTCTATGCTAGTCCAATCAAAATCGCGCAAAGAACTAGACATTTCGATCGACTGCAGGATTTGCAAAGAATGTGTAACCTCAACTCGGCGTTGACAAATATTTCTTTAATCATGTTTTTAATCAAGGTGCGAAATGATTTGATGCACTTCGTGAGGTAAGGCCCATTTAATTTTAATATAGATCTTGATTATCGATCAGATCGTCTTGACTGGGCGCCGCCATTTTGTTTGAATCAAATGTAAGGGATGTGAGAAATGGAATCTGATAGAAGAGGGATAGAAGGGACAGAACTCCTAATGGCAACGATCGAGCCTGGAACT